CTCTGGTCACACCAGAGCCTGAATATGCCAAGCCTGTAAGTTCCAGTTTTGGGTGCTGCTGTCTTTAGTGCAAGGCAGAGCTGCAAGTTTCAGGCCAGCCAGCACTTGCTGTTGCTGGCTGAGGATGCTGAGTGCTGGAGTCCTGCCAGGACCTAGCCATTTCCTGCAGGTTGTGACAGCTAGAACTTGGCCTTTGACCTGTCATGTGTTGGCACCAAAGGACTGGTGCCTCCTCCACTTCAGCATCTGGATGCTTGGCTCAATCAAGCTCTGTCTGTCTCTTGCCCTCTGCAGTGCAATGGCCAAGGGCATATGAGGCAGTGCTGGAGGACCCAGAGCTTTGTCTTTTGTTTCCTCATGAGGGGCCATCCGGCAGATTTCCATCAATCCCGACATGACATTGCTCAGCACAAGGCCTGTTTCCCTGTCAAACAGGAACTCACTGCCTCCAAGAGCTTTGGACTATGGAGTGTCCAAAGTGGGTGACACTTACATCTTGTGCTTTGTTGGTTTGTTGCCTTGTTGGTTTCCTAGGAGAGGAAGCCCTGGTCATTTTCTCCTTCTCCAGCAAGCAAAGATCCTTCTGCACAACAATCCCTCCTCTTTTCTGGCACTGGTGATACTGTGATCCCGGTTTAGTTTTTCACCTCTGCAGCAGCAATAGCAAAAGCAATGTTGTCACTTTCCTAATTTCCACATCAGAGCTTTCAAGAATGAAACTCTTCCACTTGAGCATCTGGCTGCTTGGCTCAGTGAAGCTCTGTCTCCTGGCTTCTGCAGTGCTATGGCCATGGGCACACGTGGCAGTGCTAGAAGACCCAGGGCTTTCTTCCTTTGTTTGCTCCCTTATTAGGGTCCTTCCGACAGATTTCCATCAATGCCGACATGACATTGCTCAGCACAAGGGCTGTTTCCGTGTCAAACATGAACTCGCTGCATGCAAGAGCTTTTGACTCTGGAGTGTCCAAAGTGGCTGACACTTCCATCTTGTGCTTTGTTGGTTTGTTGCCTTGGTGGTTTCCTAGGAGAGGAAACCCTGGTCATTTTCTCCTTCTCCAACAAGCTAAGCTCCTTCTGCAAAAAATTCCCTGCCCTTTTCTGGCTCTGGTGAGACCATGATCCAGGTTTAGTTTTCCACCTCTGCTGCAGCAATAGTGTTGTAGGTTAAGGAGGAAGTGAGTTTTTTAAGAGGTTGTGGTTAAACCAGTCAGTGCTTGGATTTGAATATTAGCTCCTGGTTTGGCCACTGAAGGTATTGACCACCTCCGAGAACACAGGGGGTTAAAAGCAATTACTCCCAGGAGAACTGTCTCTTGGTCCCCATCTGTGAAGGAGCTCAGAACTCCCCTGCCCAGCCGGGGCTGGCTGGGGGAGGGAAGCCATGCGGCCGGGTGAGGTAGGCCGGAGCCTTGGGCAGGGGAGGGGGGTGAAGGCCTTGCAAGATGGAAGGGTAGAAGAGCCCTGAGAAGCATCAGCCCCCCCTCCTACCACCCAGGAGAGAGATAGAGAGCCAGTGTCTGTGCTGCCTTGGAATTTGATATCATGGACTGGCAGCACGGCCGGCCAGAAGTGGGGCATGCGGCGAGAGAAGGTGCCCGGCAGCTGTGGGAGTTCTGGGCAGACAGAGGCAAAGATTTTAACCCCTTTGTAGAATAATGGAAACCTTACAAATACTGATCCTCCTGAAACAGAATGAGGAGAGAGAGAGATGAAGCATGATGAAATGGGCAAGTGTGAGGAAAGTTGGTGCATGTGAGAGATGTCAAAAACGGTGAGAAGAATCCTAGGTAGGAAAAGATGATGGAGTGGCCTTGGGCTAGACTCTTTCTTGTATGGCCATGGACAGACACATGTTTTTCCTGTGACCCAGAGACTGTATTTAGGGGGAGGCAATGCCTTGGAGTCAAGAGTGAAGCAGTGGCATGAACAGAGACAGCTGAGGAGGGTATGGGATGACCTCTGTCTCCGTGGAGAGGAAGGTCTCTGTTCACGAGACCCTTCTGCCCCAGGGGCTGAAATTTGGGGGGGACTGGTGTCCCAAAGTTGAGAGACTGCTGCTTTTGGAACTGGGTGGAGCATCCTTAAACAAGGAACCCTAAAAGCAGACCTGGCCCATGTGCAGTGGTGAGAGCACTGGACATGGGGGGGAAGAAGTCACAAGGGCAGATGTTCTCTGGGCAGTGCCGCAAGTGACACAGAAACAGAAGAGGTTTCAATTGTGCTTCCAGGAGAAGCCTATGGTGCAAGGGGGGGACTCCTCTCTCCCTGACAGATTTGAGGGTTGTTTATTTGAGAAATGATGATACTGAAAGTTAATTATCTGAGAGATGGTGACAAGGTAAGAATCTATGGTGTTATCTCATCCTGTGGAAAAAATGGAGGAGAGGAGGAGGAATATATTTAGAGAGTTTTCATTCTTAGCTTGTGTCTGTTTCTTTTTAGATGATGTAATTAATAAAATTTGTTTCCTTTATTCCTCAGTTAGAGCCTGCTTTACTCTATTCCTGATCACATCTCACAAGAACCACCAGAAAAAGTGTATTTTCATAAAGGCAATGGCACTGTGCCAGAGTCAAGCCATAACAAATACCAAAGGCATTGCTGTCGCTTTCCTACTTTTCCATGTCAGAGCTTTCACAAACTAAAAGCTCTGTTTGAGAAAGCAAAGCTCCTTCTGCACAAAATTCCCTGCCCTTTTCTGGCACTGGTGACACTGGGATCCAGGTTTAGTTTTCCACCTCTGCAGCAGCAGTAGCAAAAGGCATTACTGTTGCTTTCCAACTTTCCCATGTCAGAGCTTTCAAGAACAAAAAGCTCTTTTGTGCAGACAACATCACTTGCTGATAGCAGCCAGGGAGGAATATCATCTTCATATCCATAGAGAGTTCTGTTGAGTTGGCCCATTATCATTTGGACGCTGTGACTTAGAATTCCATCTCTATGAAATTTTATCGTTTCACTGTAGGAGATGTGGTGGTACATCTGAAAAGAAATGAGGTTCTAAATGATAGGTAATGGCCTGTCCCTCATGCTTCTCTCTTGCCACAGGAGACTGAACCAACAGCCATCTCTCCCCTGGCCCCCTCTGCTCCTGGAGATGAAGTTGACCTGTCATGTGTTGGCACCAAAGGACTTGAGCCTCCTCCACTTGAGCATCTGGCTGCTTGGCTCAGTCAGGCTCCATCTCTTGGCTTCTGCAGTGCTATGGCCAAGGGTACACGAGGAAGTGCTGGAGGAACCAGGGCTTTGTTTGTTTGTTTCCTCCCTCATGAGGGACCTCCCGGCAGACTTCCATCAATGCCAACATGACATTGCTCAGCACAAGGGCTGTTTCCCTGTCAAACATGAACTCACTGCCTCCAAAAGCTTTGGACTCTGGAGTGTCCAAAGTGGCTGACACTTATCTTGTGCTTTGTTGGTTTGCTACGACAGGAAGCCCTGGTCATTTTCTCTTTCTCCAGCAAGCAAAGCCCTTCCTGCACAACATTCCCTGTCCTTTTCTGGCAGTGGTCAGACTGTGATCCAGGTTTATTTTTCCATCTCTGCAGCAGCAATAGCAAAGGCATTGCTGTCACTTTCCTACTTTTCCATGTCAGAGCTTTCAAGAACAAAAAGCTCTCTTTTGCAGGGACATCATCGCTTGCTGATAGCAGCCAGTTAGGAATATCAACTTCCTATCCATAGAGAATTCTGTTGAATTGGCCCATTATCATTTGGTCACTGTGACTTAGAATTCCCTCTCTAGGAAATTTTATCGTTTCTCCATAGAAGATGTGGTGGTACATCTGAAAAGAAATAAGGTTCTAAATGATGGGTAATGGGCTGAGTGTTGTAGTCCTGCCAGGACCTAGCCATTTCCTGCAGATAGTGATAGCTAGAACTTGGTCTTTGACCTGTCATGTGTTGGCACCAAAGGACTGGTGCCTCCTCCACTTGAGCATCTGGCTGCTTGGCTCAGTCAGGCTCCAGCTCTTGGCTTCTGCAGTGCTATGGCCAAGGGCACATGTGGCATTGTTGGAGGACCCAGGGCTTTTTTTTTCTTTGTCTGCTCCCTTTTTGGACGTGTGTCTTTGGCCTTTGAAACTCAACTGCAATTTTCTTCATAATTCTTCAGTTCTACACAGTCTTCTGTGCCAGCTGTCTTTTGGCTTTTCATAAGCTGTAAGGAGATAATTTTGTTAATTTTCTTCCATCTTTCCTGCCATTTTCTATCTGTCGTAAATATTCTGCTCTAATTTTTCTTTGGAAATTTGTAGTTCTTGAAGATGCTGTATTTTTGCATGCGAATACTTAGTTTGGGTCACAAGCCGCTGTAGAAGTAAATTTTCCTGTGCCTGACCAGTCAATAGCGCCTTGTACTTCACGTTCACGTTAACATTACCTCTGTCTTTTTGCAACCCAGGCAATTCAGTTTTGTTGTGTTTGGGAACTGAACAAGAAATCAATGCCGTTGCATTCCAGCTGGTCCTCAGAGATCAGAGGAGCTGGGAGGGGCTGGGCTGCATTTCTGATTACAGCCACATTAGCACATTCACTGTGGTCCAGTCCAAGGGAAGAACTTGCCCAAGCACAGATGCACAAAGAGTGAGTTCCCAGTGCAATGCTCTGGGTCTGATCACATTCCATAAAGACCTACACTCTCCAGATTCCCCAAAATGTGGGCAGGAGTCCCACAGGCCGTAAAAGCAGATTCTTGGAATCTGCAGAGATCAGCACCTGGACCGGAGGGTTATATTGGATGCAAATGTGGATAGGGAAACAGAAAGAAGTGGCTGAATAGATGTGCTTTTGAGGCTGCAAGAGGAAAAAGCTAAGCCTGATGGCAGCTCCCAGTCACTTGCTCTCCATTTGTGTGTACAGGACATCAAAGCAGAACAGCAAGCAGAGCTGCCTGAAGCTCAGAGTGACACTATGGAAGAGAAGAGAAAGGACGAGGAAGACATAACAAGAATTGAAGAGGAGATGACTCTCCCTCAGCACAGAGGCGATCAACAAAATCAGGTGGGTGAAAGAGTGGCAGCCACCCCACTTACAAAACTTCCTCTCTCTTGCTTTTTAGAAAAAATGAAGGAGCAGATGGATGCAGACTTGCAGAAAGCTCAGGCTAAGTGGAAGGCAAGGGAGATGAATCAGAAGGAAGAAATGAAGATCATCCGAGAGAAACTTAATCCCCTCCCTCAGGCTCTACAAAAGCAAGTAAGTGAAGGAGGGACAGCCACTGCAGTCACCAAACTGGTGCTTTCTGCCCTTCTTGCCTTTCCACTGCAGAGCAGCAGGGAGTGGGGCCGTGCCTCTGAGTGCCATCCTGCTCTAGTGTGGATCACAGTCTCTCTGAAGGACATTTCCTGCTGTGCTGAATCTCAGCTGCTGCCCTGGACAGTGGGACTTGTCCTTTGGCCTTCTGGCCAGCAGTCATCCAAATTGATTCCTGCTGGCATGTTCCTGCTCTCCTTTTTTCTTGAGGTGTTTTTAGAGTGGAACATGGTGAGCCAGATGGAGGACTAAAACAAGCTGTCTGTATCCCTTGTAACTCTGTTCTTTCCCTTTGCTCGCAGTCGATGACTTCTGGCTGACAGGGACAAGCTGTAGTCTCTGACTGCTTTGTTCTCTTTGACTTGAGGTGCAAGTGTTGACATCCCACCTGGCAGCCTCTGAAGATTTCCAGCAAATGTCTGGCAATGAGGAGCCCCACCGTTGGCGTAAGGCACAGGTACTATCCCCATCAGAAATGCTACAGGTTGAGCATGACCTGAAGATAGTGCAGGAAAAGAGGACACAGTGGGAGGAAGCAGAATACTTGAACAAGGAGCTGCAAGTGTGTCTGCAGCCCTTGGAGGGGGAAAGAAATCCTTGAGAGGAAGTAGAATGGTCATTGTGGCAGTCGTCCTTCAGAAAATCCATGAAAACCAAACATGAATCTGGCCACGAACTCGAGTAGAACTGGCCTTTGGTTTTGACCCATCCAATTTGAAAAGTGGACATCCAAGTAATTCATTTTAAGAGCCCTGCATGTGGCTGACAGCACCTTCCTAAGGGCTTGCATTTCAAAAAGGGATCTCAGGGCAATCTCTGCCAGCCACCTTTCTGACATAAACTCATTTCTTGTCCCAGATCTACAAAGGCTCTATCACCAAACCTGCTGCATCAGCATCATTGCCTAAAGGAGCCTTTGTTCCCCGACCTGAGAAGAGGAGGCAGGGGAGTTTGCTCATCTCCCGTGCTGACCGAGCTGCTGCTCAGCAACAGGAGAGTGAGGATGACTCCCTAAAGCTACTGAGTACGTCTGGTGTCTTTCTTGTCTGAGGGACAGTGTATTGTGTGCAGGTGTTAGCATAGCCCTACCAAACGTTTCTCCTGATTTTGGTGTCACAGGGACATTTAGGGACATTTCCAAAACTGAAGATAAGATCAAGGCTTGGGAGAAGGGGCTGGAGGAAGAAATGAAAATCGTCAGAGAGAACGCTAATCCCCTCCCTCAGGCTCTACAAAAGCAAGTGAGTGAAGGATGGACAGCTACTGCAGTCACCAAACTGGTGCTTTCTGCCCTTCTTGCCTTTCCACTGCAGAGCAGCAGGGAATGGGGCCGTGCCTCTGAGTGCCATCCTGCTCTAGTGTGGATCACAGTCTCTCTGAAGGACATTTCCTGCTGTGCTGAATCTCAGCTGCTGCCCTGGACAGTGGGACTTGTCCTTTGGCCTTCTGGCCAGCAGTCATCCAAATTGATTCCTGCTGGCGTGTTCCTGCTCTCCTTTTTTCTTGAGGTGTTTTTAGAGTGGAACATGGTGAGCCAGATGGAGGACTAAAACAAGCTGTCTGTATCCCTTGTAACTCTGTTCTTTCCCTTTGCTCGCAGTCGATGACTTCTGGCTGACAGGGACAAGCTGTAGTCTCTGACTGCTTTGTTCTCTTTGACTTGAGGTGCAAGTGTTGACATCCCACCTGGCAGCCTCTGAAGATTTCCAGCAAATGTCTGGCAATGAGGAGCCCCACCGTTGGCGTAAGGCACAGGTACTATCCCCATCAGAAATGCTACAGGTTGAGCATGACCTGAAGATAGTGCAGGAAAAGAGGACACAGTGGGAGGAAGCAGAATACTTGAACAAGGAGCTGCAAGTGTGTCTGCAGCCCTTGGAGGGGGAAAGAAATCCTTGAGAGGAAGTAGAATGGTCATTGTGGCAGTCGTCCTTCAGAAAATCCATGAAAACCAAACATGAATCTGGCCACGAACTCGAGTAGAACTGGCCTTTGGTTTTGACCCATCCAATTTGAAAAGTGGACATCCAAGTAATTCATTTTAAGAGCCCTGCATGTGGCTGACAGCACCTTCCTAAGGGCTTGCATTTCAAAAAGGGATCTCAGGGCAATCTCTGCCAGCCACCTTTCTGACATAAACTCATTTCTTGTCCCAGATCTACAAAGGCTCTGTCACCAAACCTGCTGCATCGGCATCATTGCCTAAAGGAGCCTTTGCTCCCCGACCTGAGAAGAGGAGGCAGGGGAGTTTGCTCATCTCCCGTGCTGACCGAGCTGCTGCTCAGCAACAGGAGAGTGAGGATGACTCCCTGAAGCTACTGAGTATGTCTGGTGTCTTTCTTGTCTGAGGGACAGTGTATTGTGTGCAGGTGTTAGCATAGCCCTACCAAACGTTTCTCCTGATTTTGGTGTCACAGGGACATTTAGGGACATTTCCCCACAGGAACGGCTCTAAGAAATCAGTCTCTGTGCTGGCCACCTGTGCTGCAGAGCTGTCTGCCTGGTTGTTGTTGTTATTACCCAGCCGACCACAAAGGGCTCAGAGCTCCAGACAGTGGGGCTGCCTTTTGTATCTCCTGAAAGCTGGGATCTCTGCTTTAAAGTGAGCATCTTGCATTTTGTTTCCCTCAGGGAAAATGGTGACCATGGAAAATCCCACAACGAAATACACAGAACTGGGAAATATTGGCAGGGGGTGAGTCCAACAACAGTTACTTCTACACAGCCACGGGCCAGGTGTTTTTCTGGTGGAATATCTATCCAGTTTGAAGTCAGACCAGCTGAACAAGCCATGTTCAGACACTGGGGATAGATTGTCGCATCTCTCAGTGCTGCTCAGAATTTGTGAGTGTGCTCAGAAGGCTTTGTCAGAGATGCCTCCATGTTGCTGAGGTCTTGCCTGCATTAAGGAACAGGACCTGGAAGATCTCATCTCTCAAGTATGGGACAGTTCTGTGTTAATTTCCTAAGCATTTTTTTCTATCTCTAAATCATACAGCCACACTAATAAAAGAGGAAGAAACTTGCTTGCCTGAAAGAGCAACCTCCTCCCTGACAGCTGTCAGATAACAGTTGTCAGGAACATTTCTTTTCAAGAATTTGCTGAAGGAAATACTCCGTGGTCAGGATAAAAACTGAACAGTTTAGAAACTGAAACCTGAGATGAAAGAAAAAGCTCTTGTTTTGAGCTTTTTTGAGGCAGTAAAGTCCAGAGCTTCAGGAACAGGCGCAGTGCCCATGAACTTGAGAGGAAAATGCATCATCTGCCTTCTGGCAGAGCCCTCCTGCATCCTGCAGGTCTTAGGCACTTACAGCAGAGATCTCCTGTGTGAGCTGCCTTTCACTCCAAGATCTAAATGGCTTCTCCTTTCTTTGTTGCTGTTTTGTTTCTAGGACTTTTGGAGATGTTTGCAGAGCACTCAACAATGCCACAGGGGGAGAGGTAAATGTCAACAGCCCCTGTAGACTCTGCTGCACTCAAGGCAAAACTGAACAGTTTAGAAACTGAAACCTGAGATGAAAGAAAAAGCTCTTGTTTTGAGCTTTTTTGAGGCAGTAAAGTCCAGAGCTTCAGGAACAGGCGCAGTGCCCATGAACAAAACGTCTGTGGCCACATGTCCTGTAACTGGCCCCCAAGGGAGCAGAGAAAGGGGCTGTTGGAATGTCAGTTCCTAATTACTGCAGTGCCTAATCACAAGGCAGTTTGGCACAGCTCAGCTGTGTCATTGCAAATCACTGGCTCCATGTGTGTTGTGGTCTCATGCCACCAACTTCTCAAGTTACTGATTTTCATTTTAGGTGGCCATAAAGAAAATAAATCTTCAGGGACTGAGAAAGAAAAAACTAAAAGTCAATGAACTCAGGATCATGAAGATGAATAGGAATCCCAACCTGATCAACTATTTAGACAGGTGAGTTTTTGTGAATGTTTGTTTTCATATAGCAAACATGCAAGGTAAAATCCCTCTTTGGTCACTGGCAGAAAATAGAACTGAAATTATTGGTTAATTATTATTGCTCTGCTCATCTCCAGTGGATGGGAAGAGAGTGCATCTTGTCTGCATGACTCTTGCCTGGCACACATAGTTTGAAAATTATTCAGAAACCTGGATCAGTTATGTCTTACTAAATCAATAGCCTGTAAGTTCACAGCCACCACTTTGTTTTGGGGCTTGATTTTTTTCAAGTGTGTTTTTATGTCCAGAAAAACTAACATGGATTTCCCTTGGAATCAGTTCTCTCTTTTCCATTGCTTTGCATGCCATGAAGACTAAACTGCATTTTTTACTTGCTGGCCATTTAAGACATCTCCTTTTTCACAGTTATGCTTTTCTTCTTGAGACTGCACAGATTGGAAACAATGCAGAGCCAAGAGGGAATGTCTATTGCTTAGTCACAAAGGGACCTGGAAACAAGAATTAATCAAGAAAATAACCTACCCATGCATGTTTATCTACACGCCCTTGTTTCCTTCTTTCAGCTACCTTCTGGGTGAGCACCTCTGCCTGGTTATGGAATACATGGACGGAGGCACTCTGAGAGATGTCATCAGCAAGTGCTATCTGTCTGAAGATGAGACAGCAGCCATCAGTCGGGAGGTCAGCAATCCCATCTGTGCTACCGAGGGCTTGGGCAGGATTGTCTGGGAAACAGGGGCTCAGAACAGGAGAGGTTTTATGTGCCCAGCTTTGTTTGTGTGTTGCTGCTATGCTGTGGGCAAGTAGAAGCATCTCAAGTGAAATGCCTGCCAGTGCCCCTGCACTCACTGTATTCAGTTCCTCTGCTCTTATCTTCTGCTTTTGTGTTCTAGCTCTGCCTCTTGTATTTGTATTTGCTGTTCTCCACCTTGCCTCTCTAAACATTTATCTCAAGCCTGTCTTCACTGCATTCCTTGCTTCTAAAAGCAAAGGTGCTGGGGGGAGGATTTGAAACTAACAGCAAAGAAAAAGAGACTCATTTCTCACAGTCCTCAACTGAAAAGGATAGTAGTCACACAAAACAGTGTTTGCTTCAGGAAGGTGACTGATGTGATATTTCCAAGCCTGTGCTGAGGCCAGCAATAAAACCTTTGTCATGCAGCCTCCCACCCAAAAGTGATCCACTTCACACCCCAGGGACTTTTTATTTCTTGGCAAAAAGCCTCATTTGCCTTCTGCATGGAGATAGCACGTCCACTGCATCAGCAATCATTCTAGCTGGTTTGCAGGGGACAGGTGCTGTTGCTCTTTCAAAGGCTGGCATGCCTTTCCTTAGAAAGGTCCTGCTCTGCAAATGTTGCAGCAGCAAGCCCTTCCTCTCAGTGGCACTGTCTTCTGCCATTACTCCCCATTCCCCTGGGGAAAGGGAATCTTTTAGAGCTGTTTCTTTTCTTGTGTGATGAAATCACATCACTTAGTTTTGCCCTCCTGTTTCTGTTTTCTCTCTCAGTGCCTGCGAGGACTGGATTTTCTTCACTCGAACCATGTGATCCATCTAGATGTGAAAAGCCGCAACATCCTTCTCGGAACCGACGGCTCTGTCAAGCTGGGTCAGTATATTCTTGGTCAGGTGCAGCATTCCAGGGATGTGGGTGTGGGGCTGCATGGAGTGACTGCCAGCTCCCCAGAAATGGTGCTGGTGGCAGTGCAGGGACACCTGCACCTTGTCATACCTCTGTGCACATGGCAGCTGTGAGCTGGTGGCACAGCTGCAATGTGCACAGAGATATGACAAGGAACCAAAATAAGTAAACAGTGGTGTGTTGGTGTGTTTGTGTCCCCTCCAGAGGGAGGGAGCTACAGTCTCAAGCTTCAGGGGAATAAAGGCCACTGCTGTGAGCAGCATTAAAAAAACATGGGGTTTTTTGGAAGTGGCCAATTCCATACTTCCTTGCCTAAAGCCTCAAGGAAACTGAGCGTGGACAGTTCTCCGGGAGATTCAACAGCACATTCTTAGACTGAGAGTGGGGAATTCTTTTCCTTGCTTTCCTAATTAGAGCTGGCTTTGATGGTTTGTTGTTTTCTCCACAGCTGACTTTGGCCTCTTTGCTGAGCTCACCCCTGAGCAGAATAGACAAAGCTCCATGGCCTGCACTTCGGGGTGGATGGCGCCTGAAGTGGTGACAGGTCAACCATATGGCCCCAAAGTGGACATATGGTCTTTCGGAATCGTGGGCATTGAAATGGTGGAACGAGAAGTTCCTTACTGGAATGAAACTCCTGGCACAGTAAGGAGCAAATACTACTGATCCCTCTGTCTTTCTCACCTGTCCCGTGTTCTGTGTGCCATTGGACAAAATCCCATTGCCATCTGCTGGCACCACTTCCACCAAGATCCCCTCCTAAAAATGTCCCTGCAGCACATCAGCATCTGCTGTAGATTGGTAAGGAGCAAATCCTCACTGATCCCTCTGTCTTTCTCACCTGTCCCGTGTTCTGTGTGCCATTGGACAAAATCCCATTGCCATCTGCTGGCACCACTTCCACCAAGATCCCCTCCTAAAAATGTCCCTGCAGCACATCAGCATCTGCTGTAGATTTGGATTTCCCTTTCCATCAGAAGGGAAGTAGCAGTTCAGAAACCTAACCAGTTCAGACACCTAACCAGTTAAGAAACCTGCCATTTAGGCTTCCAGGCATGCCTGACATTTCTCATTTGCTTTTTGAACCCTGTTGATGCTCTGTCTCTGAAGGACAAGAATTTTTCAGTGGAACGGTTGGATGTGTGATAAATATCCTTCAAAATGGAGGTTGAGTCTTCCCAGTTTCAATTATAGAAAAAGAAAAAGAAGAAAAAGAAAAAGCTAAAAAGAAACAACCACCAAAGCAATGTCCAAGCAGTTCTGCTTGCTTTTTCATTTTTTAAACACAGTACATCCATTTTCCTCCATTCTGTAGCATCTTTTCCAAATCCTGTGGGTCTTCAAAACTTTTAGGCTTTCAAATCATCTGTACATTGTTCAGTCTTGTCTGTGGGTGGCCTGGATAAGTTTAGGATGTGTTTTGCTCTGACTGCAGTTGGAATTGTATGAACCCTTGGCTGTTTCTTGGTGCTTTAACAAGTTGGTGAGCTTGCAGCCAGGTGCCTGGGCTGGGATCCACTGTGGGCAGTCGGCGCCGGTGCTGTGTTTCTGCAGCACAGGAGCAGGGCCATCCCTGGGCCGCACAGTTCTAATGGCAGTGAGGACTCCAGCTCCCCACCGTGTCCAGTGGCTGAGCACAGACAGGATAAACCCTCTTTGTGACCTTTGGTGGTGTGGGAAAAGCCAAAACGCTGACATAACTATTTGTACTCAAGGCGAGTGTGTTTGCTGTTTTAGGCTTGGAAATTTTCCTCTGGGTTGAAGGGGATAATAGCAAAGTCTCTTTGGTCACCAGCTATTTCAGTGCCACCAGCACAGAGCTGTTAGTATTGTTGGGCATTCTTATGGAGACCAGGCTGCAGCCTGGTGTCATGGAGATCCTGCCAAGCCTCCCATTTCTTACCCAACACTTTCTGCCATGGGCACACCATTAATGTAATGACTTCAGTATCCAAATGAGCAGAGGGTGACCATAGGGATGGCACTTTTTCTTCTGATTTGACAGTGAAAAGGTTTCCTTTTGCCACATAAAGAAGATGAAACTTGCAGCTGAGAGACAGAGCTGCAGGTGGGTCCTGTGTGCCCAAACAGGCATTTTCATCTCAATATATTTGTGCAGGCATCTTAAAGGGTCTGTGTTGAGTATGAGATTCCAAGTGTTTGTTTTCTTACCTGAGGAATACCTGATTGACTTCCTTGCTTTCCTTCCACTTACCACTGTTTTCTAGAAGAGGACAAGAAGCTTAATGAGTTTTATTTTATGGCAGCTGTGCTTAAAAGACCAAGAAACACTGCAGTGATGCCTTTCCCATACTAACCCTTGGAAATACTAGAGTTAGTATAGCAAGGTACGTCTTCCAAAAAGCCTGTCAAGCTCGTGTGACTCCTCAGGGAAGGAAACATGCTTTGCTGATGTAGTTCCCACTGAGGAGGTCAGTCAATGAAATCAGCTGCCAAGGCAAGATCTGCTGAATGTTGGAAAAGCTGTAGATGCATCAGGGTTTGGGTTTTTTGTTGGTGACGGAAAGGCATCTCTGTGTCTCTGCCAGGGCAGAAACTGCCACAGCAGAGTGGAGCTTAAACAATGGGCTCAGGGAGAGCAGTTACAGATGGGAAAGAAGCAGATGGAGCCTCCTGTTTCCTTTTTCTGCAGGCTGAACTCCTGACAGCCAGAGGAGGGGGACCACAACTGCGGCAGCCAAACCGATTCTCGCCTTGCCTGTGTGACTTCCTGAGCTGCTGCCTGCAGCCAGATGTGATGTGTCGCTGGTCTGCCAAGGATCTCCTGAAGGTAAAATGCAAAGGGACTGCAGGTGAAACAGGGTGCATGGGCTCCTCCTCCACTGAAGTCCAAGGCATCAGATGAGCCCCCTTCCTCCTCACCTCCACTCTTGGTGCTCTTGAAATGAAAACGGTGAGGAGTCCTAGACTGGGCTGGGCTGGCAGGGCCCTGTAAAGGTCATCAGGTGCAAGTGTCCTGCAATGAGCAGGGACATCTTTAAAGAGATCAGGTTGCTCAGAGCCCTTTGCCACCTGACCTGGAATGGTTGTAAGGACGGGGCAACTGCAAGCTCTTGGGGTAACCCGTGCCAGTGTTGCACCATGCTCCAAGTGAACAAATTCTACCTAAGACCTGCTCTGATTGCATCCCCTTTGCGTTTAGAAATATTTGCCCACCTTCTATTTTTACTGGCCCTGTTAAAAAAGGTGTCCCCCACTTTCTTCAAAGCCACACTGAATTTTGGAAAATTACTATAAAATGGTAGACACTGCTCTGTCTCCCTGACTGAACAGTGAAGATCTGAAATTAGCACAGTGCCTGTCTTTCAAAGAGAGGGACCTATGTGAGGCTTTGGAGTTTCCTGAAAGGAAGAAACCCCAGGGACATTTCTAGAGCACTGGCAGGGCAAAAATCTCAACAAGATGAAGACAACACAATAAACAGATGAGTGGGATTCTGGGCCACGTTTTCCTGGGATGGCAAGGTCCTGCACATGACAACTGGAGAGCAGATGGTCCCATGCTCTACTTTCTGGGTTTTTCTAGGAACTAGAAGAATCCTTATTGAGCCTGTGAAGCACTGAGCTTGGAAAGAGTCATCATTCACTGTTCTTTGTTGTTTTGTTTTTTTCTCCTGTGGACAGCATCCATTTGTAACATCAGCAAAGCCAGTGTCCACCCTGGCAGCACTCATCAATTTGGCGAAGAAGAAGAAGAAGAAGCAGGAAGAGACAAGAATGTAACAATCAAGATGTTATCTCGATAACCAACTTTATTTAATAACAATCCTACGCTATTGGATTGTAGAGCAGGACTCTACAGTAGGATGAGTAGTTTTGCACCATAGCTTTATAGAGTAGGATTTTTATTAAATAAAGTTTCTGCAACATTAACTCATTTGCAAGATTCCCCTCCTTCTGACCCCTTCAGAAAACTCAACATTTTAATGGTTGCTGATCAGCCATTGTCCCCCCTGATGCTTGCCAGGGAGTGACACCAGACCCTGCAGGTAGCAGGGGAAGGAGAGTGACATCAGAGCTGGTATGCAGATGAGAATGCATTTCACCAGATTTTGCAGTTTTCCAGGAAAGAAACCCTAAAAACAATGAGCCAACATGGAATTAAGAGTCCTAAGTAATGACTAAAGGTGAGGACCTTAATGCAGTATCTGCTAAGATCCTTTTTACTTCTCACCCTAATCTGAAAAGCCTATCTTGAGTTTTTTCAAGCCCTGATATGTAAGTCCTGATGGGGAAAGTCAGGCAAACTAAAAATCAGGCCATACTTTTGTTTTTAAGTCCTGATGAGACAGGTTAGGCAAGCTCACAAGTCCTGAGAAGGATTCGGGCAAGTCCAAAAATCCTGCAGGCAAACAAAGTCCTGATAAGAGAGGTCAGGCAAACTCAGCCTCAGAGGCCAGGGTCTCAAGGGTTTTTTTTGTTGAGTCTTGGCGAAGGAGGCCGAGGTCTCAACAAAGCCCTGATGAAAAGGAGTCAGGCAAATTGGACTTTCGGTGGAGGAGGCCAGGACTTCTTAAATAGGATATATTTCCCTTAGAGTAGAGGCATCTTTGTGATTTTTTTTGAAGCCTGAAAGAATGGGAGGGTGTAATAGTAAGAAAAGTGGCCAGAGACTGAAGAATATACTCCCCCATAGTCCCCTAGGTGAACTATTAGAGAGATGGGACTCTATAGAGGCCACAGAAGGATTAGATAAAGTTAAGATGATTCATTACTGTTCAGAAGTGTGGTCAGAATTAGTTGTACAAAGAGGATGGCCGCAGTGTGGGACAAAAGACAAGTGGATGTGTCAACAGCTGAGTCACTATCTGACAGCTCAAGAGGATACTGATCCCGAGCAATTGTTATATGTAGCTTGTTGGTTGAAGAGTGCTATCGAGGATGAAGGAGTGGGAATTTGTAAGGTGCAGAAGAAGAAAGAGGGGAATGAAAGGGGGGATGCTGGAGTTAAAGAGATTAGTAAAAGGTGGGACCCCCTGGACTACTTGCCTCCTGATGCCCCTCCACCTTATAACCCTCTCCTTCGAGCACCTCAAATAGCAGATCCAGTTCTTCTCCCGGCAGCCATGGGGGCCATTCCCTCACCACCCCCTTCGACTCCTTCAGCTGCTTCTGCACCACCACTAATACCTACTCCACCTGCTGCATGCTCCACCCCTTCTCCAGCTCCACCTAACACGCACCCAAGCTCTTCCCCCCTCCTACTGCTGTCCCTCCACTTCCTCCCAACTGGGACACAAATGCCTCCTTAACTAGTAACCTCTTATCACACCCTAACCAGGAGGAAGGGAGGAAAGCCACAGGTCTTCGATAATTCGGGGGATCAGAGAATCAGTTCCCAAAGGAACTAATACAAAATTGGCATTTGAGGGTGCACAAGAGAAGGATGAAACTCCTGCTCCTTGGTTTAATCGCCTAAAGCGGAACTTCCAATTGTATTCCAGAATAGACCCAGACACCACAGAGGGTGAAGTGCTACTAAAAGTCCAATTTGTTACTAAATCCTGGCCTGGTATACAGAGAAAACTGGAAAAGATTGAGGATTAGCAAGAGAAAGACATTAATGAGTTATTGAGGGAAGCATTGAAGTGTATTTGAGGAGGGAAGAAGAAAAAGCAAGGGCCAAAGCTAGGATCATAGTTGCTATAGCCAGAGAAAGTGTGGGGGCAAGCAACTCTATCCCACAATCCAAGGTAACAAAAGAGTGGGAGGTCCACCACCAGCAGCAGGCAAGGACAGGCCAGTACTGTCAGGGACAGGAGGAATGGAGGGGCCTCGAGTCCCTTTGAGCAAAAGGCGCTGCTATTACTGTGGAGAAACTGGACCCCCCCCAACTGTTCAACCTAAAGGTGTGAAACCTTTGCTAGCTGATCAAGAGAGCAAAGGAAGCAGCTTTAGAACCAGGGGATCCAGTAAAAGTTTTTAAAGCAGAAACCACACCTGAGGAGGGGGGAAAGAAGAGAAGAACCCATATTTCATGAAAAAGAATTAAAGGCTATAAAAGATTTAAAGTTGCACCAAGGGCAACGAGGGGAGTGGTTAACATCAGACGGACAAGTGTTTTTAAACAAAGCACTTGCTTGGATGGTGCTAACAGAACTACAGAAATTAACCCACTGGGGAGTCCAAGGACTATGTGATCACTTCCTAAGAAATAACCTGTGCATAGCTGTATATGACCTAGCAAAAGCAATCACAAAAGGGTGTTTAATTTGCCAAAAAGTAAACCAGAAGGTCATGAGAAAAATAACACCTGGAAGGAGGAAATTAAGACCTTTCCAAAGCATATCCGTGAAGTGATGTTTGGACTGCCATTCTTGTTAAAACCCTATAACACAAGAGACTATTTGGAAGGAGAAGAAGCTACCAGAAAATATTTAGAACTCATTGGAAGAACCCTGGAAAGAATTAGAAAAAGAGGATCCCTCCCCCAAACCTCCCCCCTTGACAGAAAAGCACGTAACATTAACCCAGGAGATTGGGTTTTGACAAAATCCTGGAATAGTGGACCATTAATGCCTAAATTTGAAGGCCCCTTTCAGGTACTCCTCATCGCTAATTCTGCTGTGCGAACCAGAGAAAAAGGTTGGACCCACATCACGAGAATTAAAGGACCAGTCTCACCCCCGAGCATTGGACAGGATTTGTCAGTGTCTCCCTCTGGTATTGGATCAGATTCCACACCACCCTCACACCCTAACTCGGGACAGGATTCAACCAAATCAGGAGTTAATTCAGCTGAGTATACCATTACAAAAGGACCAAAAGACTTAAAGTTGACACTCAAAAGGAAGAGCCAAAAAGACTGATGAACTGAATAAGAAAGGAGTTTGGAATCATAGCATGTCTTAAAGTGTTCTAAGAAATTAGTAAAAGTTAAAAATTGTTAAGTAATTCTGGTTAAGTCCTCCCAGCATAGTACCAAAGACTCCAGGTTAATCTTCTGCAGAGTTCTCCCCTAAGAGAAACTCTTGCAGTGAACACTCTGTGTGTGGAGACACGAGGCTTGACTCCATTTCAGAAGGCTGATTTACTATCTTATATATTATACTAAAATACTACATTAAAACTATACTAAAAGAACAGAGAGAAAATAATCACAAGGCTACCAAGAACAAGAATAGAATAGAATACAGAACAAAAATCCTGTGACTGCTCACAGCCTCGTCACAGGTGGCTGTGATTGGTCATCAAGTGAAAACAATCCACATAGACCAATGGAAGATGCACCTGCTGCATCCCACAGCAGCAGATAGTTATTGCTTACATTTCTTTCCTGGGGCTCCCAGCTCCTCAGGAGGGGAAAAATCCTAGCAGAGGATTTTCCATAAAATATCATGGTAACAAGAGACCAAATTAGTAAGGACAGATCACGAGAGTTTTAACCAAGGAAGCAAATAAAAAAGACTCTAAAGAGCTTGGAAACTTCTTCTTAGTAAAGTCCCCAAGAGGCAAGGCTGGGTGGGCAGGCTGTGCAAGATGATCCATACCAGACTCTTGGGAAGGGTAATAGTGATGGCTCTGATTGCTGGTGGTGCTCTGGAGAGCCCAGGACAGCTGTGCAATGAGTGCTACCAACCCCTCTCTGAGGAAGAAGTTCCTTGTTGAGAGTCCACACCAATATGAACTGTGTTAACCTCTCCCAATTGATCCTTTATCAAGAGAATGAGAAAATATATTGGATGGCCCGGAACATCGTCACCTTTGGGCAGCCACTCCTGGCAGAGCACCCTGTAGGAGAGGCCTGGTGGTGCTTTGAACATGATGCTATTGAAGCAAGCCTGGTAAATCTGGTCAGAGGAAAAGAAATAGTAAAAGCAATAAGAGAATTAGACCATTTAGCAATACCCTGAAGTAAAAATCTAATAAGAGAAGAATGTATGTTAAAGAAAAGGAAGGGGTACAATACACCAGTAGGAAGAATGGCTTGTGAAAGGTATTTAGCAGTAAAAGACTCTGCTGCCTGGTGGATCCCAAGAGATCCAAACAGAATTTGGTCTGTTAAGGAAAAAGAAAACAAGTGCATTTACAATAAAACATATAGACTTTATGAGTGTGATAAAAGAGATAAACCTCTTTTGGAGAATGAAAGACATTTCTGAATATTGGGAGGGCACAACAAAAACTAATATATTTCGGGAAACCCCTAAACACCTGTTTTGGGTCAATGGTACTACAGCATCCACTAAATTATCAAGAGACTGGTCTGGCAGTTGCATCATTAGAATTATAGAACAAGCTTTCTTTATATTACCCAAGGAATCTAGATCAAGTTTAAGAGTTCCTGTATATGATGATTTAAGAAAAACCAAACAGAAGAAGCGGTATATATTAAACAAAATTATGAAGCTACAAGCAGTATTAGAGATAATATCTAATCAGACCGCATTAGCTCTTAATTATATTAATGACCAACTCACCCAAACAAAACCAGTAATTTATCAAATCAAATTAGTTGTAGCAGTCTTTAGAAACATCTTAAATGAAATATGAAAACTAGCATATGTAAGAAATCAAGAAAGGACTCCTGCACTTGATTCTAGTTCATGGGATAATCTATGGACTTTCAAAAGAGGTTGGAAAACTATAGCCTGCTTCACTGTGTGTACACTTGTTAGTTTGTTCTTCTTATTTCCCTGCTTAATTAAAATAGTGATATCTGCTGTATAGAATAACCTAAGGATCTCTAAAGAAATAAACCTGAAAAGACCAAAAAAAAGTAATGAAGTTGAATAAATATGATCACCAAAGTGCCCAGGAAATTTATAACCAATACAAAAAATATAAGAAATTCTACGATACTGAGCCAAAAATTGCAAGTTGATGCAAGCTTAAGCTTAAGCCTGATCAAAGAAAAAGAGCGGGGACTGTTACCTCTCTGAAAGACGGATACAACATGGCTTCATTCAGCAAAAGCACAGCTTTTTGGTTTGTTTTTTTTTTCCCTGTATTTTATTATGACAACTCAGGCAAGCCCTTCAAAACAGCAACTGAAGCAATTCCCACCCAGTGAGCAAATAAACTCCAAACCCACCGCATCTTTCTACTGTAGATCTTGACATTTTGGGCTGGTCCTGCAAAGGGCTAAGAGGCCTTCAAGGTCCTAAGCACCTTCTTGTCTTGCCAGCAGGGACAAAGGCGGTTCTGGAATCAGGCTATGAGCTTGTTTCTTTTGGCTTCTTGTTTTGTTGCAGCCCCTCTGTGCAAATAACCAAGCCTTGCTCACTCTGTCCATCCCAGTGTCTCTGGCAGAGGCAGCAAATCAAAGCCTCAAATCAAAGCCTCTTCTGCTGAAAAGGGAACCTATTTGGAACAGTGTAGTGATCCCAAAGTCCATACAGTACTGCACCAAAGGATTAGACCCTTCTCTCTTCAAAATCGTGTTACTGATCCTGCCTAAGATGGTTCTACTGAATATCAGCCAGGCTCACTCCTCTATTGCAGGGCTGTTCTTCTTCTGAGTAACCATGGCTCAGCTGCCTCTTGCTGACATATTGCTGACTGAAGACCTGTCTCTTCCATATCTCTTTTTATAAAAACACTTTAACTTCTCAAATTTTGCATGCATGCGTGGAAAAAAAACCAACACAAACCTTTAGGAATATCAAGACATTAGAGCAGATTTAATTTATCAAACCCTCACCAACTGCATTAAAATGTAGCTCTGTAAGCCTTTCTTCAGAATTTTCTTAATCATCGCTCCTGAGTCATTTTTGGGAGATAACTATGCTGCCCTTAACAACTCCAGATTACTTGGCAAGCGGTAATTAGTTGTCCATTAAGCATTCCAGCCCTTCTGTAGCATTTCATTCCGATAACTGATCCCTGCATATTGCAACCAGCTTCTAATTTGTGTCTGCCCTCTTCTTTTCCATGTTTTGAGCCAAGTGCAATAGCATCCTTGTGACTGCATCTTAACACACTTCACGGTGACACATCGCTCCTAATTCCCTAGACTCTCCCCGTGGAAGATTCCTTGCTCTTTTTTCTCTGCCACAAAATGGGCATCTGCAGTCCTGGCACTGCTCCTTGGGGGTTCTCAAGGCAGAGGCGATGCTCTGGTGCCCCTGGGGCGGGTGACCCTTGGGTGCAGGGAGGGACTGAAGCTCCGAGCTGCAGCGGATCCGGCGGCGAACCCGAGCGGTGCCATCGCCGGGCTCTGCTGGTTCCTGGTCTGCCTGCAGGAGCCGCCGCTCCCGGGCTCCCGGGCTCTCCTCTCCCACGTCTTTCCCCCATTTCCCAGGCCCTCCCCACTCTACTCGGGTTTTTTCCCCCCGCTGTCAGGCGTGAAATGCAAAGCTGAGTTTCGTGTCAGGTACATAGAGGCAACGTGTGCATCTGTGATTGTGATATGTGTGGAAACTAACCACAGGACAATTAGAAAGACAATTCTAATAAATAACTGAGGGAGTAAAGCATGGAAGAAGGCCTTTGAACCTATCCTTTGTTCGCAATTAACCTTTATAAATCTTAAGTTGACTTAGGAGCTTGGCCTAATCAAGTTTCTCATTTATAGATTCTCCCTTGTCTCCTGGGCTCCACCCCCTCTCTTGGGTTCTCTCTGGTCCCAGGTGTTAGGGATATGATAGAAATTTGTGCCAATGGATTATAGATATATGTATCAAACATGCTATTAAAGGGGGGACCAGGGTTTAATCTGAGAGTGACACCTCGGCTGTCTGACAAGGGCGGAACTCAGCATTAACATACAAAGGAAACTCGGCTGCACAGGAGATGGTCATTCATGGTGGCATGTGCCCGAGGACACCCAGTGATGATGGCCCATGAGGATACACATCTGAGATAACCAGGGCAATCAACACCTTCCACCTGAACACAGGATTCCAGGAATCAGGAGAGGAACGTTTGTCTCTTCCCAGACGAGGTTTCCTGCAGCTTTGAGTGAAGAAAGAAACCAACATGAATATGATGAACTTTGAAAGGAGACAAAGAGATTCTGCCACAGGCAAGAAAAAGAGTATAAGAACTGTCCCTGCAGAGCAGAAAGTGTGGACAAAGGGGGATTCGGTGTGATGGAGGCTGGATCTGTGTCCACCCAGCCTGTGTCCCCAGGGTCTGTGCTGTCATTTTTTATTGATGGCTGTCAGGACTGTAATACGGTTGCAAATAAATTTCTTTGGTTTTATTTTTATTACAATTGGGTCAATTTTTATTTTTAGTTTTAACACCGAGCTACTCCTTGTCCCAGGCTCCCCCCTTTCCCAGGCTGTAGCCAGTGCTTTTATTCACCTCCAAGGATCTGCCCTTCTCCCGGGGCCGGGCCAGGGCTGTGGCAGAGTGTAATGAATATGGCAGGAGATCTTTCTCCTTTTTAATGCCTTTATTGAAAAGAATCAGCTCAGGTTGGGCAGAAACGACAGGTCGCCCGCGCTGCCGCTGCTCCCAGGAGTGGCACAGAGGAGGAGGATGATGCAGCTGTGCCCGCTGGTCTGCAGGCAGAGCTGGGGATTCCATCCTCACGGGAGATTAGGAGATTCCGCTTTTCCCGTCTAACATTCCAGGTCCTCTCTCTAGTTAACATCTCTTCAGGTTAGGGTGAGAAGTAAAAAGGATTTTAGCAGATACTGGATTAAGTACCTCATCTTTACACATTACTTAAGTCTCTTAATTCTATGTTGGCTCACTGTTTTTAGGGGTTTTTTCCTGGAAAACTGCAAAATCTGGTGAAATGCAATCTAATCTGCATACCAGCTCTGATGTCACTCCCCTTCCCCTGCTACCTGCAAGGTCTGGTGTCACTCCCTGGCAGGCATCGGGGGGACAATTACTGATCAGCAACCATTAACAGGTAATTGAAGAAGAACTCTCAACAACAGGTGACTGCAACATGAAGGTAACCTTCAATTCAACAGCAACTGGTCCAACTCGTTTTAACTCTGCAACCTTAAAAAAAATGGGCAACTTTTTACTCATAAAAAGTAAGGATCTGTGCCTGCAGAGGGGCTGTGCCATGTGGGAGCTCCTCCGGGTTCCCTGCAGACAATAAGAGCTCCGACCTCTCCTTCAAGGCTGCTGGATGCCTTGCAGTGAGGCTGGAGTGCCCGGGGTGTTCTGGTGGCTCCTTGTCCTTCAGCTCAGCAGGAGGATGGTTCCAAGTGCAGGTGCGAGGGATGTGTGTGCAGTTTGTGTCCTCACATCCCTGTCTGTTGGAGCTCGATGTGTTCACTCCGGCGGTAAATTCTTGCGTATCATGATTATGAGCCTGGATTTACCCAGGCTTTTAAGGGAAGTAAACTTGGAGACATTTTTTTGTGCAGTTCCTAGAAAGCAGCTGTATTTTCCGTGGAGGTTCTGTCATATTTTGATTTGTCTTGGAGGGACTTGTGGGCTTCTTTGCTGCTGGAGTGCAGGAATCCATAAAATCAGAGGGTTTTGGGAAAGGTGCAAAAGGCAGGCCTCAGAGACAGCAGAACTGTGATTAGAGCTAAGCAGTAGCCATAAGATAGGTCAGCAGAAAAATTATGTAAGAAGTGGAAAACTAAGGACAAATAGAACAATGGCTTGTGTATTAACACTTGGCTACAATAACTCCCTAAGCTGCAGAAAAGTATATCTAGTGAGATATTAGGAAGTTCTAAGCTTAAAAATGGAGCTCTGTGCATTGTGTTTTAAGGCTTACAAACAGGTGTTGTATTCCAAATAAGCAAGCGTTGTTTTAACCAAAGGTACCTGTGCTTATAGTGATTGGATGGAACTACTGTCAATATGCTTTTGCTTTGTGTGATTGGTCAAAAAACTTTTAAGGTAAGTTGTAACATTAAGT